AAGAAAAGGTAAATCTGGTTTTGTGTAAAGGTTAACAATTGTCCACATATTTGTCAATTAAAAACTGTAAATTTTATATCACAACAACCTTTGGTTAAAAAAGAAACAGCTCAAAACCTGATACAAAATGTCAAGAAAGGGAAAGAATTACGATCAGTCTTTTTATTTTATCTTCTAGGTTGTTGAAAAATTAATTCGAGGTTTGGGCATGGAAGACAGCAGAAATATGTTTGCCTTGTTTGAATACAATGGAATTACAAATAAAGCCATTGAAAGTAGAACTGTTGTGGCTGATGTCTTGGCAAAGTTTGAAAAGTACGTGTGTCACTGATCATAAACAGGCAATTCATATTTCTCCTAACAGCTTTCCAAATGTCTCTTACTTGTATTGATAACCTTCCTCTCCCCTCTGCCAAAGGATGCTTTTATGACCCACTGCATTTCTACTCTCCAAAAATTTCTTCTCATCTCCTCATTTTGCTCATTCAGGATTGTTAAGGCGGAGGGGGCTTCTTACAAGTAGTATATTTATAGAAGCACAACCAACCAATATTGGACATTATAGAACTGAACTTTTTGTTTGCTGGTTACATTTCCACTGTTGTCACTAATATTGGAACAAAACTAGTGATTGGAACAAGAACAAACTTTTGAAAAACAGTGTTATATTTTATGCTAGATTGATGGGCCATTCAGACATACTTCAGATTTTAATGCCTTTCAAGAAGAGATTGGACTGCCATTTGTCAGAAATGGTGTAAGGTCTCCTGCTTGGGTGGGGGATTGGACTAGGTGACCTACAAGGTCCCTTCCAACTCTGTTAATCTAATCTAAAATCTAATCAGTCAGTATGCATTTTCTCTCGAGCTTTTAGTTATTAATTCAACTCCTTGTAAAGATTGATTTAGACCTTGTGCAGTTACAGCACTTCCCTGCATTCAGTAAAGAATCTCAAGATTTTTCAGGTTTCCATGCAACCCTGAAAAACAGTGACGAAATTTTAAGAATTATGAGGTTCACAAAAAAGCCCAAACCATGTTGAGCTGTTTAAGTAAATAGCAAAAATGTACTGCAATCATATCATGTAAAAAAGCATCTCTTTAAAAACATTTTTAAAGCATTCACAGCCTTTTTTTATCATGCTCTAAAGCAAGAAAACCTTGTATATAAAAATATTGCCTTCATACACACTGATATTATATGAAGGCTTTTATTGTTTTACTAAGTTGTGCTTGAATGTAATGATAAACCAGAATTGTTTAGAAATAAGGTTGATGTTATGAGCAACTTATTTATAAGTACTGTGCAATTATGTGTCTTAGATTTTCACACAATGAATCAGCAAAAACATCATCTTATATATGAACCTAACTATCATTGTTACTGTTATTAACCAGTATTCAAAATATTTATTAACCAGTATTAAAAATAAACTTCCAACTGTAGTGTCAAACTTTGGCTGACTAAAGGAACAATAAACTAAAAATCGGATGTGGCCATATTAGAAAGCTTTTGCTTCTTCATTAATTTAATTAACCCCTCCTGTTGAGACAAATCAAATGTGATTGACTGAAAATGGTACAGCACACACTGCTTTAGAATGAGGCAAAGCTCGGATTATATAGATTTAACCAGAGGTAAGATAGTTTTTAACTCTATTACTAAGTCATGAGAATACAAGTAATAACAATTGTTGTTGTTGTTGTTGTCATTCCAGGATTGGTGCCACTTCAGAAGGTGACCATGCAGCATGGAAATTTTATTTCAAACTCTACTGCTTCCTAGACATTGAGCATGTACCAAAAGATAGTGTGGAATTTGCATTTATGTTTGAGCAGGTAAAAAAAGGAGTTTTATTAGACAAAGATGTACTCTGTGTGTGTGTGTGCATGCGTATTATACACACTTGCACATGGAATAATACATAGTGCCGTTTTGATCAAATTAGTCGAGGAAAATATAAAGAAGTTATTAGCAAATGATGCTTACATTTGTTTTATTCGACAGATGTTATCCTATAATAAGATAGACCAAGGCAAGTATCCAGACATCCTGTTTGTCATTAAGAGCTTTGGCAGGAGTACAGTCAATCTGGAAAGGCATCACTGTACTCCATCTTACTGGCTAACTCCAATTAAACAATTGGCAATATTGAACATTACCCAATTTCAGCAATGGACTTGATATGGGAGAAAAAGCTACAATTAAATCCAGACAAGGCACAGACAAGAAGAAACCTAGATGTAGGGTGGAGATAAGACCTATTTGGGATGAGGTTGCACTTCCCCTTAGCTGTCACTGGATACGTAATTTGCAACTGTGACAAGGAATAGTTTGGATCAATTGTTGCTAGTGCTGATTACTTTTTCTTTTCTCAAATGCCATTTCCTATTTTTGGTAGTTTCTGATCTCTTGAGAGCAGTGCTATTTAAACTCCAGACTCTCTAGCCAATTTGAAAAATATAAAAACACATCGCACCTTAAGCACTTTAAAGTCCTTCACACCACTTATCTTACTATAATTTATTTTCTTTTTAGTGTTTTGTCACAAGTGCAAGATCCAGTTTTTTGGATCAACCGACTGTTGATCCATTGGTTGCAACATGACTTGATCAACCAGCTTGTTGCCCAAGCCTGATGCTGTAGGTTGAGAGAGAGTGACTGGCCCAAAATAACACAGCCAGCATTAGGGCAGGGCTAAAATTCAGTCTTCTGGTTTCTAGCCTAGTATCTTAACTAATACACCATACTGGCTGTCTACTTATTTTTCTGTAATATTTACAACAATCCACTAAAACAAGTATTCCAATTGATAACTCCAGGCCAGGGATGGGGCAGGCAGAATGTTGCTGTTTAGTTGATAACCAGTTGATGAGTTCCTGGCAGTTGATGAATTCTGGGCAGGTCTAGTTCATTTATCAATCTCTTGGTCACTAGTCTACAGAAGCCGATTTAGAATTCAAAATGTTATGACATATACTCCTGAAAAAAAAACACTGTTTTTCTTTTTATTAGGCACATGAAGCCATGATTCAGGGCCATTTCCCAGCTCCTGAAGAAACCCTCCAGGTCCTTGCCGCCTTGCGACTCCAATATTTACAAGGGGACTATTCTTCATCTAATGTTACAGTACCGGAAATGGAAGATGTCTACCCCTTGCAGAGGCTGAAGTCTCGTATTGTTCAATCCACTAAAGTTCTTGTGCCAACAGAGAGGTTTGAGAGGAAGCGGAACAACTTTCTGGAAGGAACTCTAAGGAGGAGTTTCCGGAGCAGTTCTATTACTAAGCAGAAGATGGAAGACGATCAGATGCTTAACATGTGGATTAGGGAAGAGATCTCTGCAGCCAGGACTAGTATGCTTGATAAATGGAAAAAAATGCAGGGAATGACTCAAGAGCAAGCAATGGCAAAGTACATGAATTTAATTAAGGAATGGCCTGGCTATGGGTCAACACTCTTTGATGTAGAGGTGAGCATGCCAACTTTCCACCATATAATCATGGATTAAGAGGTTATAACTAAGTATTATAATGTGTAGCAGGCAGCACTTAAAATTTCTGCATTATAATTTCTGCATTTCCTCTTCTCCTGAACTGTTTTGCTAGTATGGATGGGGGAATGTTAATACAAAACTGAGAAAAGGACATTAGTAGATGATAGCAACTTTTCATGTGAAAGAGAGGAAGGGAGCATACCACAGGGAATAACTATTTTTCTGCTTCAAGGAATCATCAGCGTTTTTGGTAACAAGGTGACAGCACTGATAGTCCTCACTTAACAATGTTTGTTTAGTGATTGTTCAAATTATGACAGCACTGCAAAACGTGACCTAGAGCTGGTTCTTGAACCTTACAATCTTCACAGGGTCCCCATGGTCACATAATCTCAATTCAGGTGCTTGGCAACTGTCGCACATTTACAACAGTTATAGCGTCCATGGTCATGTTATTACCATTTATGACTTTTGCAAGCAGAGTCAAAAGGAAAGCCAACAGGAAGTCGCATGTTATGTTCCTGTGATGTCTCTTTTAATAACTGCAACTGGGATGCTGGAACCACTGGCGCTAAGCAGGGCCATTATGTGATGTTTCGTTTAACTGCTTCTTCACTTAGTGATAAGAGGCGCTTGTTCCAATTAGGGTCATTAAGCGAGAGCTCCATGTAATCTACACTGGCAAATAAGGAAAGAAAGTAATCTACTGGTGCTCAAACAGCCTTAAAATGGATTATTGTGTATCAATGAAACAGTGTTTTGGAGTGCATGGCAGCATAATAGCACCAGTCTGCAACTCTTTAAAGCAGAATTTCCAACCTTGGTAACTTTAAGACTTGTGGACTTCAACACCCAGCAAAGCTGACTGAGGAATTCTGGGAGTTGACGTCCACAAGCCTTAAAGTTGCCAAGGTTGGAAATTCTGCTTTAAAGAGTTGCAGACTGGTGCTATTATGCTGCCATGCACTCCAAAACACTGTTTCATTGATACACAATAATCCATTTTAAGGCTGTTTGAGCACCAGTAGATTACTTTCTTTCCTTATTTGCCAGTGTAGATTACATGGAGCTCTCGCTTAATGACCCTAATTGGAACAAGCGCCTCTTATCACTAAGTGAAGAAGCAGTTAAACGAAACATCACATAATGGCCCTGCTTAGCGCCAGTGGTTCCAGCATCCCAGTTGCAGTTATTAAAAGAGACATCACAGGAACATAACATGCGACTTCCTGTTGGCTTTCCTTTTGACTCTGCTTGCAAAAGTCATAAATGGTAATAACATGACCATGGACGCTATAACTGTTGTAAATGTGCGACAGTTGCCAAGCACCTGAATTGAGATTATGTGACCATGGGGACCCTGTGAAGATTGTAAGGTTCAAGAACCAGCTCTAGGTCACGTTTTGCAGTGCTGTCATAATTTGAACAATCACTAAACAAACATTGTTAAGTGAGGACTATCAGTGCTGTCACCTTGTTACCAAAAACGCTGATGATTCCTTGAAGCAGAAAAATAGTTATTCCCTGTGGTATGCTCCCTTCCTCTCTTTCACATGAAAAGTTGCTATCATCTACTAATGTCCTTTTCTCAGTTTTGTATTAACATTCCCCCATCCATACTAGCAAAACAGTTCAGGAGAAGAGGAAATGCAGAAATTATAATGCAGAAATTTTAAGTGCTGCCTGCTACACATTATAATACTTAGTTATAACCTCTTAATCCATGATTATATGGTGGAAAGTTGGCATGCTCACCTCTACATCAAAGAGTGTTGACCCATAGCCAGGCCATTCCTTAATTAAATTCATGTACTTTGCCATTGCTTGCTCTTGAGTCATTCCCTGCATTTTTTTCCATTTATCAAGCATACTAGTCCTGGCTGCAGAGATCTCTTCCCTAATCCACATGTTAAGCATCTGATCGTCTTCCATCTTCTGCTTAGTAATAGAACTGCTCCGGAAACTCCTCCTTAGAGTTCCTTCCAGAAAGTTGTTCCGCTTCCTCTCAAACCTCTCTGTTGGCACAAGAACTTTAGTGGATTGAACAATACGAGACTTCAGCCTCTGCAAGGGGTAGACATCTTCCATTTCCGGTACTGTAACATTAGATGAAGAATAGTCCCCTTGTAAATATTGGAGTCGCAAGGCGGCAAGGACCTGGAGGGTTTCTTCAGGAGCTGGGAAATGGCCCTGAATCATGGCTTCATGTGCCTAATAAAAAGAAAAACTGTTTTTTTTTTTTTCAGGAGTATATGTCATAACATTTTGAATTCTAAATCGGCTTCTGTAGACTAGTGACCAAGAGATTGATAAATGAACTAGACCTGCCTGGAATTCATCAACTGCCAGGAACTCATCAACTGGTTATCAACTAAACAGCAACATTCTGCCTGCCCCATCCCTGGCCTGGAGTTATCAATTGGAATACTTGTTTTAGTGGATTGTTGTAAATATTACAGAAAAATAAGTAGACAGCCAGTTTGGCGTATTAGTTAAGATACTAGGCTAGAAACCAGAAGACTGAATTTTAGCCCTGCCCTAATGCTGGCTGTGTTATTTTGGGCCAGTCACTCTCTCTCAACCTACAGCATCAGGCTTGGGCAACAAGCTGGTTGATCAAGTCATGTTGCAACCAATGGATCAACAGTCGGTTGATCCAAAAAACTGGATCTTGCACTTGTGACAAAACACTAAAAAGAAAATTAATTATAGTAAGATAAGTGGTGTGAAGGACTTTAAAGTGCTTAAGGTGCGATGTGTTTTTATATTTTTCAAATTGGCTAGAGAGTCTGGAGTTTAAATAGCACTGCTCTCAAGAGATCAGAAACTACCAAAAATAGGAAATGGCATTTGAGAAAAGAAAAAGTAATCAGCACTAGCAACAATTGATCCAAACTATTCCTTGTCACAGTTGCAAATTACGTATCCAGTGACAGCTAAGGGGAAGTGCAACCTCATCCCAAATAGGTCTTATCTCCACCCTACATCTAGGTTTCTTCTTGTCTGTGCCTTGTCTGGATTTAATTGTAGCTTTTTCTCCCATATCAAGTCCATTGCTGAAATTGGGTAATGTTCAATATTGCCAATTGTTTAATTGGAGTTAGCCAGTAAGATGGAGTACAGTGATGCCTTTCCAGATTGACTGTACTCCTGCCAAAGCTCTTAATGACAAACAGGATGTCTGGATACTTGCCTTGGTCTATCTTATTATAGGATAACATCTGTCGAATAAAACAAATGTAAGCATCATTTGCTAATAACTTCTTTATATTTTCCTCGACTAATTTGATCAAAACGGCACTATGTATTATTCCATGTGCAAGTGTGTATAATACGCATGCACACACACACACAGAGTACATCTTTGTCTAATAAAACTCCTTTTTTTACCTGCTCAAACATAAATGCAAATTCCACACTATCTTTTGGTACATGCTCAATGTCTAGGAAGCAGTAGAGTTTGAAATAAAATTTCCATGCTGCATGGTCACCTTCTGAAGTGGCACCAATCCTGGAATGACAACAACAACAACAACAATTGTTATTACTTGTATTCTCATGACTTAGTAATAGAGTTAAAAACTATCTTACCTCTGGTTAAATCTATATAATCCGAGCTTTGCCTCATTCTAAAGCAGTGTGTGCTGTACCATTTTCAGTCAATCACATTTGATTTGTCTCAACAGGAGGGGTTAATTAAATTAATGAAGAAGCAAAAGCTTTCTAATATGGCCACATCCGATTTTTAGTTTATTGTTCCTTTAGTCAGCCAAAGTTTGACACTACAGTTGGAAGTTTATTTTTAATACTGGTTAATAAATATTTTGAATACTGGTTAATAACAGTAACAATGATAGTTAGGTTCATATATAAGATGATGTTTTTGCTGATTCATTGTGTGAAAATCTAAGACACATAATTGCACAGTACTTATAAATAAGTTGCTCATAACATCAACCTTATTTCTAAACAATTCTGGTTTATCATTACATTCAAGCACAACTTAGTAAAACAATAAAAGCCTTCATATAATATCAGTGTGTATGAAGGCAATATTTTTATATACAAGGTTTTCTTGCTTTAGAGCATGATAAAAAAAGGCTGTGAATGCTTTAAAAATGTTTTTAAAGAGATGCTTTTTTACATGATATGATTGCAGTACATTTTTGCTATTTACTTAAACAGCTCAACATGGTTTGGGCTTTTTTGTGAACCTCATAATTCTTAAAATTTCGTCACTGTTTTTCAGGGTTGCATGGAAACCTGAAAAATCTTGAGATTCTTTACTGAATGCAGGGAAGTGCTGTAACTGCACAAGGTCTAAATCAATCTTTACAAGGAGTTGAATTAATAACTAAAAGCTCGAGAGAAAATGCATACTGACTGATTAGATTTTAGATTAGATTAACAGAGTTGGAAGGGACCTTGTAGGTCACCTAGTCCAATCCCCCACCCAAGCAGGAGACCTTACACCATTTCTGACAAATGGCAGTCCAATCTCTTCTTGAAAGGCATTAAAATCTGAAGTATGTCTGAATGGCCCATCAATCTAGCATAAAATATAACACTGTTTTTCAAAAGTTTGTTCTTGTTCCAATCACTAGTTTTGTTCCAATATTAGTGACAACAGTGGAGATGTAACCAGCAAACAAAAAGTTCAGTTCTATAATGTCCAATATTGGTTGGTTGTGCTTCTATAAATATACTACTTGTAAGAAGCCCCCTCCGCCTTAACAATCCTGAATGAGCAAAATGAGGAGATGAGAAGAAATTTTTGGAGAGTAGAAATGCAGTGGGTCATAAAAGCATCCTTTGGCAGAGGGGAGAGGAAGGTTATCAATACAAGTAAGAGACATTTGGAAAGCTGTTAGGAGAAATATGAATTGCCTGTTTATGATCAGTGACACACGTACTTTTCAAACTTTGCCAAGACATCAGCCACAACAGTTCTACTTTCAATGGCTTTATTTGTAATTCCATTGTATTCAAACAAGGCAAACATATTTCTGCTGTCTTCCATGCCCAAACCTCGAATTAATTTTTCAACAACCTAGAAGATAAAATAAAAAGACTGATCGTAATTCTTTCCCTTTCTTGACATTTTGTATCAGGT